AAATAATTTAACTTATAGACATCCATCAAATGACATTCATAAATATAACAATTTACTAAAGAAATGTCATGCTCAATTCAACTCATTTTTTCATTAGTTAACATAATAATTATATCAATTACAAGAGAAAAATACATCATGCTTCATATGATATAACACTTATATTAATACATGTATGATCATGCTTTAACCTATGGTGAGATTTTAATCTAAATGACATACTTTATGCCTCATACATTTAATCTAACATACATTCATAATGCATAATAATTAAATAGTGAAATTTGACTGAATTTTGACATCCTAAGAAAGGAAAATTAAAAAAAAACAGCCAAAACAACTCGAAATCGCGAACCGATGCCTCTACCATGGCACTAAGCTGAGCCAATGTTGCGCCGCAACACAGTGGGGGCCAATGTTGGAGGTAGATTTCAGTATGCACGTGGCAAGAGATGATTGGACCTGAAATGTGACCGTGGCTCCTAAATTCTGCAAGAATTTACCCCAAGTGTTTACTTCTCAACTCATCCACTTTACCATTTCGATGGTCAAGCCGAATAAGCATGTTCATAACCCCGTTCCCATATCACTGGTTGAACCGGTTAGCTTACCTCAGCTCGGTCACATCTCCAACACACTCCACGACAACATGCCGCGTTTAACGGCAACCTTAAAGAGCCGTTGAGGCCTTGTCAGGAACACTGTCGGGGTCCTCATCTATAAATAGATTCATTCCGTTCATTTAGAGGTAGGCGAACATTTCGATTCTCTGTCGATTTAGTTCGGACTTTCACTGATTTTGGTATCGGAGTGCTTACTCTGTTTTGCAAGACTTCTATGTGATATTTGTAGCTCACTGTCCAGCTCATCCTAGCCAAACCGACGTTCGCAGAGTTGGTCAATTTCTTGATTCAACACATGATATACTACCTTTGGCATTTAAGATCAAGTCACATGTATCTAGACAGAATTTAAAGCTCTAGTAAAGAGAGACCATTTAAATTAGAGACATACTTTACAACTTTGTGAATATTGATTAGAAGGCCAACATCATTAAAAGAAGGGAAGACAAATACCTTTCATCGAAAGAGAGATACAAATCCAAAACTCCCCTACAGACCTATGTGATTTAGTGAAAGTAAAAGCCCGAAGGCTTATCCATAGACCTATGGACTCTAGAGGTATTTTGGATTTGTGGCCTTTTTCGTAAAAGGCTTTTTAGTCATTTTGCTTTCCAAGCAAGATTTACAAATTGATAAAGTCTAACTATAACTGGTTAAGAGGGTCATTCTTTCATTGGTCTTTCAATTCTTTTCATCTAGACATTGCAACCTTTAGTATTTTAGGATCGGTTTGGTAACCTTCTCATTTCTAATTTTATTAAGAAATCTAAGAATATGATAACTATTTATGTTATTTTCTCATTTTTTTCATAAACATTTTAAAAATTGTATAGTAATTTCAGAAACACACAAACAAGTTTCTTCTTTATTGTTCCAGTTTTCAATTTAGTCTGAAATATAAATAAAAGATTAAAAAACGCTTTTGGTCTCTATACTTTCAGTGAAGTAACAATTTAGTCTCTGAACTTTTGCTTGTAACGATTTAGTCCATGTACTTTCAAATTTGTAACAATTTGGTCCTCAAGCTATATTACATAACAATTTAGTCCCGGTAATTATAAATTTGTAACAATTTTTCCCTATCGTGAAAAAATTTGTTAAATTTCTTATACATTTAGATCGATAAATCGATGAAAGACCAAATGTGTTTACAAATTACAAAAATTAAATCGTTATAAGATAAAAATCGTACTTAATTCTGACAAAAAATATTATACGGTAGGGACTAAATTGTTAAACAGATTTAAACTACAAAGACCAAATTGTTACATACAAAAGTTTATGGACTAAATTGTTATCAATTTAAAAGTACAAAGGACTAAATTGTTACAAACTAAAGTTTAGGACAAAATCGTTGCTTTAGCAAAAGTATTGGGAACAAATGTGTTTTTAACCTAAATAAAAATATTGTTTTACCATGCTTAAATCCATGGATGTTGGGATCATGCAATTCTATTTTTCTCTATTACAAAAGAGGAAGCATAAAACGAGAACACTACCAAATAGGCCCTTAGTTTTTATCTTATATGCTACCGGTTCAAAGCACCTAAAAGTTATGGTCATTTAATGTTGAACGACATATCTCAAACCCTTTTTTTTTTTTAACAAAACTTTATTACTGGAAAAATTCAAAGAATGAATCTATTCAACTAATTAAGAAACAGAAACTTGGTTCCTTTTGAATTTAGGAACTAAATAAATATTATCTAACATTAAATAAAAACCGTTAAAAAGAACTTCGTGACACTATTAATCTAAGTAATTAATCTAAGTGCCTACTTGCATGGTCATCTCTCCAGCTTCGGATTACTCCCATGAGAGATTTTTAGGAGAAGAAGAACATATACATCGTCGTGGTAATGGATCCTAAAGTTCGATCCTAAAGTTATTAACCAAAGTGGATTTAATATTCTCTATGTTAAGCAAGATTCAAGTACAAGTAAATCATATTTATCATCTTCAATTCAAGTATAAGTACTTGCTTCAAATCCACTCATTCAACCCATCAATCTCATGCAAAATAAGTTCAAATCCATATCAAATCTGTTCAGTCCTAATTGTAATAAATTAAAACTGCGATCAGATGTGGTTTTGTGATCAATCTTAGTCTAAATTAATTATAAGAAACGATCACAATTTTGGAGAAGATAACTCTTTATCCAAGAGTGTTATTAGTTGTGGTTTTTTTATTTCTCATTTCCTCTTTCTCGTTTCTAGTTTTTTGACTAACTATTAAAATATGGCCAAAATTTTATGCAAGTTATAGAAATAACAAAAATTGGTTTCTTTGTTTATTATCCCAATTTCTAGTTTTTTCAAAAACAAAAACAAAGATGTTATGTTATCATTTTTGTACTTATATTTAATAATTTTAATTTCACATAATAATTGTGAATATTTTATTTAAGAAAATTTTTAATGAAAATCTTTGAATTTTTTAATTTAAAATTTAATAAAACATGAAACATGAATAGTTACCAAATGTTTTTTTTTTTCCTTTAAAAAAAAAAGAACAATGAAACAACAAAAAAGAACTAATTACCATACCCTATACAGTTTATGTTAGTTTTTTTTTTATTATTTGAAAAAGAGAATATAAGAAACAAGAAAGGAAAAAATGTGAAACAAGAAACGAGATAGGTTATATTGAAGAGGTACGTAACTAGTATCTTCTAGAATGAAGTAAAGAAAATTAGTCAATTCGAACATATTTCAGTGGAAAAAGTACCTATAGGAATAGCTATATTACTTTCTTTAAGGTTAAACATTCGGTAGACTTTGCCTTTATTGAACTAAAAAAGAAAATAAACAAAGTTAAAAAAAATAAAATCATAGCATATTTATAGATGGTAAGGTGTTTCTTAAAAAACACATATATGGTAAGGTAATAATAGTGCAAACAAATTAGAGTGAACGTTTTTTTCTTTTTTGACAAGATCAGCGTACTAAAACAGACAAAAAATTATAACTAAACTAAAACTTTATCAACCAACAATCACTCTCCCATCCACAAATGTGAGGGCCTTATAAAAGCTAACTATATAATAAATAATGCACAAAATTTCATTTCCTTTATTTTAAATGCGAGTTATTTATTTATTTTTTATTATAATTTTCTTTTGACAATAACAAAGTAAAGCAAACAAAACAAAAAGTTAAACAGAAACTTTACCAGCAGCAACCTCTCACTTTAGGCATCAAGGGAGGGTCTTCGAGATGCGAAAGTTATATATATATGGTAAGGTTGTAGTAAATGAACAATATTTTATTTTCTTTAATTATTGAAACTTTGACTAATATTTTTGACAAGTACGAACAAAGGAAAACAAAACAAAAATTGAACTGAAACTTTCATCAGCAACAACCACTCATTTCAGTCACGAAAGAGGATCTTCTAGAAGCTAAAGTAGATATGCATTCGGCAATGTAATAATGATGGGAAATATTTCATTTCCTTTAGTTACAATTGTTAATAAATGTTAATTTACAAAGACAATGACTCCTAATCTTCTATGTATAAATATTCAAGTATACCATCACTGTTTTGCATAGTAGAAAATGAAGTTTTGAGAGTGAAATATCAATATGAATTTGCCACATATTGTTGGCTTCGTCACTTTGTTTGTTTTCTCTGTAAAAGCTAATATTATGGATTCGAAGGTGAAAGTGGCATACAACTATGTTCGAGACACGTGCAACAAAACTGAAGAGTTGAAAGATCTTTGCATTTCTGTGATAGACTCGAATCCTCGTCAAGATTTGAATCGCCATATTCGTGAATCAAACTCTTTACGTCGTCATCGATGATCATTCTTACCTTCTAAGTCAAATTCAAGATGGAAATTTGGATAATCCAACGCGACAAGTCTTTATGAGTTGTATGGAACAATATCAGATGAGTAAAGATTCTCTAGAACTTATATTGAAGGAGTTGGTACTGGTAAAGCAACAAAGTGCAAATTTGAATATGGATTTGGGACAAATCGATAACTACTTAGATCTTTGTGAGATTGATTTTGAGGGGTTTACACCCGAACCCTCAGCTTGAAAGTCTCGCCATGATTACGTGAGCTCTCTCTTACTTTTGTCACTGCGAATGACAAATCTCGTCGAATGTAATCATATACATCTGTGTTAGGTTGCTGACTTTCAACTGTTATGTTTGGTTTTAAACTTGTTTGGATATATCCTTTTGATTCTTTTTTTATATTTTTAATAAGGACTTGTGTTTATTGTTATTTTTACCATTTCAACTCCTTAATCCAAAATTTATGAGCTGTGATACAAAAGTTTTACTACAATTTTTCCTTTGACAAGATAAGTTTCTTGTAAAACTTTATTGAACTGACCCTTTTGAAATGTTTACATTATTGCTCATTGAACTTGTTAAAATAGTACTGTTCATTTCATAAATGTTTATTTCATTACAATAAGGCTTTACTTACAGACTCATAAAACCAAAGCCACGTTAAATCTACGTCTTATCAATACTTACAAACCAGTCCTAAAGGGTATGCCAGTTTCTGGTAACCATTGAGTCCCATCAATAAAGTTTTCAACGGTAAAATTTGCAACTTCAGCTGCATAAGAAAATAGATGAAAACCAGGCCAATCCACCCTATTGGAAGTCTCCGAACCTGTACCACTATTTTTGTATTCTGCATAAAATAATAGGTTCACTGGTGTTCCTGGCCACTCTAACCATCCTTTCGGTTGAACTACATCGTCAAGAAACGACTCAATGAAAGCAACCATTGAATAAGTTCTCCATGGTCGTCCAAGAAACACTGTTACCTTGTTCTTACTTGATACTATCTCCGGTGACACTGTCACGTTGCACGCTTGGAAGATGAACCCGCTATGGTTGTCCACATTGTCTTTGGATTGTGCAGTGACTGTAATGTGAATGTCTGACAATCGAGCGTATATATTACAGTCTTGGAATATTGCAAGTCCATTTCCAAAAATAAAGTCAACACTCCCATATATATCACACTCCTTGAAGAATTGGGGCACTGCTCCTGCAAAGAGAGTATCTTGATAACCAAGAAACACACACTTGTAGTATACTGTGTGTTTAGCTTGGTCAAGAACAGCAACGGCTTGACCCTTGTCTGGTCCAGCAGAGTTCTGAAAAGTCAAGGATTGAGCCATGAAGTTTTCACCACTCACAGCTGCAAAATAAACCATTTGTTTTTTATTTCATTCAAAATTTGTTGGGAAAGAAAGGCGAAGGAAATTAACATGCACACATCAAAACTGTTACTTGAAAGTACTTAAGCTTACTAAGGGTTGCGGAAGTCGCAGTAGAAAATCCAGTGCCATTACTTCTATTGTCAACTATGATGGTCGTAGAAGCATCATCTCCAATCAAAGCAATAAATGTCTTCTGAGCTGGAACTTCAACGTGCTCATTGTAAGTGCCAGGTTTCACGTGAATATAAAATCTGCTTGTGCTAAAGTTAGGCGCTGCTGCTATAGCATCATTAACTCTAAAAAAATTTCCCATACCATCTAAAGACACTGTTATATTGAATGTAAAGCTATAAGAAAACTCAACAAAATGATCAAGGATGACAAGCAAGGTGACTATGAAGAACATAACAACTTTGAATGTCATAGTTGAGTTCTAAGGGAGAGACAAGGTGATATATTGAATACAAAAGGGTTGTTGGCTAGTTTCAAACTTTAATTTTTCAAATAAATAAGGACTTGAAAATAGTTTTGCTTGAACATTTGAAAGTGGGAGAAACCTTGTATTTATAGGGGTGAGTGGTAGTAAGGTTAAGAAAATAGTTTTCCTTTTCTTTTTTCTTTTTTACCTTTCTTGTGGAGATAAAAATTCGTAGTTCTAATCTTTTAGTCAATGATATATATCTTAATCAGTTGGGATATGCACAAGTTCGTAAACGATGAGTAGTTTAAATGTAACATTGAGTTGCCACAAAAGAATAAACTTCTCATGAAAATTGAATCGCAATACCATATTTGCTTACGTCATTTTCATTTTATAAAAATTGTTAGCTACAAATCGTGAAATTGATGCAGCATTCCCTCTTTTAACTTTCAATATCATTATTTTACAAATAATTAAAGAAATTTAAAAATTATCAAACTTAAATCTCACGTATACCTTGGATATATTCTATTTTTTATTCTCTTTTTCCACCTGGAATGAAATGGATTAATATTTCAGATAAACCTATTAATGGGTTATAGTTAAATATATTTTTTAGAGTAGTCCAATAGCTCTTACCAATCAAAATCTATAACAAAAACAATACAGTGTTCATATTTAATTTAGAAGGGTATTGAAAGATGACTACAATACTTTTTCATTTATTTAAAAAAAAAAAACAAAAAACTCAATGAAACTTTTTGGTGTCCGGCATTCCCTTTCATTATTGTCTGTGTGAAAATGTTCGGTCCTCGTCTCCACCTCATTATCCGATTTTGGGGATCGAGGTCCAAGTCATGAACTCTCGTTTGGAGGTGGGGATTTTCATGGAAAAGGTTATCAGTTTAGTATTTAATTTTAATAAAAAGGGTAATTAATATATAAAAATTATTAGTAACTAGCACAAATAATTAGCATTTTAATATTTTATTCTTAATTTAGTAAAATAGTTGATAAAATATATATTTGTTATTTAAAAAAAGGAATTGGGGACCGGATTGAAGCATGATGGTAAATGCATTACTTATTCTTGGACGGTACGTGATCCAGCAGGATTTTTGTGATACATGAAAATAAAAGTTTAGAGAGATAAAAATAAATCTTTAAAAAGAAATTTTAGATTAAGTAAGTTTGAAGAGATAAATGAAAAAATTTAGTGAGAAAAAAAGTTAAAAAAGACAAAAGGATAGTAAAGTTGAGAGCTAACAAACATTGCAGAGAAATAAAGAAAAAGAAAGAAAATTTAGGCAAAAACAATCTAGATATATTTGTTCGAGAAAAATAAAAATATGAAAAAGAGAGAAGTTTTAGTGAAAGAGAATTGAATAATAAAAAATTTAGATAGGGAAAAATTAGATATATATTTGCTATAGAAAATAGATTAGAAAGAGAAATAGAGGTTATAAAAAGACGAAATTTGGGAGAGAAAAAAGGTTTTGGAATCATATTCAATTTTTAGACCGAGAAAAAGAGGAGTGATATGTTAGATAGGTGTGTACATTTTGGATTGAGATAAAAAATATTAAATATCCTAGACATGAAAATTTAATAGAGAATAAAATAAATATTCTAGAAAGAGAAATTTGGGTCAAATTTTAGTGCCAAAGAGATGTGAGAGAGAAATATATCAAAAGAAAGAAAAAAGTTAGAGCAAAGAAAAATAGAAATTTAAAAAATAGAAATATATTTTTAAAAATGACTTTTCTGACGTTTTTAAAAAGTAAGCAAACAATTTATCAAACAAGCTCATTCTTTAAATACTAAAAAATCAAAAATCAAAAACAAAAAATAGAAAATAAAATGGCCATGGTGATTGTTTAGAAAGTAGGCAATGTTGTACTTTTTACCAAATATAAGTAAAAAATTAATTTTTGGGACACTTACGATAATAGCAAAAATAAAATTAAAGAAAATTAGAAAGTTAGTATCTACTTTTGTTTTTACACATATAGCAAATTATTTAAAAAAAAAAAAAGAAAAAAAAAGTCCAAGTGAGTAATTCATCGAATGGTGAGCTAAATTTTGGCACCCATATAAAAAATAGCCATCCAACAATACCCTTTTCCATGGTTTTTTTGGGTTTTTCTTATATTCAACCACCTATCAACCTTGCTTTGAATTCAAATTGTTTTTACTAAATTAAAGAGATTTTAAATTAATTATTTTAATTATTTTGTTTTGAATTTTAGTTAATTTAAATGATTTTTTATTGTTCCATTGTATCTTCTTCTAAGCCTCCTATTCTCTCTTTGCAACAATAGGTCGTGTCGACTTATTTTTAACACATATCATTATCAAATTAAGTTTCTGAGAATATTCTTTCGAGGTTGATTTACTTCTTTTTTCTTCAGCTGTAGACTCATCATTCACCCTTTCATTCTCATCAAACTTTCTGTCATCCTTTTAAACATTTGATGAATTATTAAAAATCGAATGTCAATAAATGTATATACCAATTGAATAATTACTACAATACATGTATATATCATTATGCAACTCAATTATCAAAATTAGGAGGTCTATAAATGTACATACCAGTGAACAATTATTAAATTTAGGAATACATGTATATATCACTATGCAACTTAATTACTAAAATTAGAAAGTCAATACATGTATATATCATAGTGCAACTCAGTTATCAAAATTAGAATGCAACTCAATTATCAAAATTAAGAGGTCAATATATATATATATATATATATATATATATATATATATATCAAAATTCAACTCAATTATCAAAATTAAGATTTCAATACATGTATATATCACGATGCAACTCATTATCAAAATTAAGAGGTCAATATAGGTATATACTAATCGAAGAAATATCAAAATTAGAAGGTTAATACATGTATGTACTAATTGAATAAATATTAAAATTAGAAGGTCACCAATAACATGTATATATACTATATAGAGTAGTTGAACTTACGTAGATATACTTTTAAATGACACATTCATGTGGTTGGTCCCACGTCTATTTTTTATTTTAAAATTCTTCCTAAATGACAGCAAGGCAAAAAGCAAGTTTTATTTTTAAATCCCCAATAAATTACACGAAGGCAAATAACAAGCTTTTAAACATTTTCTTTCTTCGTTTTCCATTGTTCAAAGTCCCAAAATCAAAACAAAATACTAAGGTGTTGAAGAGGCAACTGGACAACAGTGGACTGTCGGTCGATGTGGGGCAGATGTCAACAGCGACGGCGCGCGGAACGTTGGGCGGTGGCATGCGGACAGGAATTGGGCAACGAATCATACATCGACGGCCAGAGTGCTGAACGGAACGGGAAAAAACTGATCAGAATGGGACGAAACTGATTGGTATCGGACAGAGACAATTGACTTGAACAATGATTGACCGACGACCTAAGTGAGACGGTGGAGGACTATAGGTGAAGATGAAAGTTGGAGGAGAGATAGAGATGTGGAGCTAAAAGGAGGGGTTGCTACCGTACAGAGTCTAAATCCAACTTCTTCAAACACAAGGTTAGGATCCTAAGTTTTCATAAATTTCCCTAAAAATATTCATATTTATCCTTCTTGTTTAGGAATTTTAGATTTTAAATCTATAAATTTCAAAATCTACCTTAACGATGTTTTTATAATTTTAAAATTAAATCTATTTTCAGAATCTCCTTTCAAAATATAGAATATAAATTTTAAATGGTTTAAATTTGATTTGTCAATTGTTTTATTAGATACATTTGATTTCCCTATAATTTACCACTGATATACAACTAATGTACCACCGATATAACTATAATATCTATTGATATAACTTCTTGTATGATTATACAATTTATCATTTATTTATTTACCACTAATATAAAACTGATATGTACTTGATATACCTCATGTACTATTGACATACCATTGATATACAACTGATATACTACTAATATAACTATGATATCTACTGATATAATTTTTTATATGATTATATTATTTACCATGTACTGACTTACTACAAATATATACTTGATATACGTCTTATATACCACTGATGTATTGCTGATACAAAACTGATTTACCTTGATATAACTATGATATCTACTGATATAACTTTTGATATGATTATATGTTTTAATATTTATTTTCCACTGATATAGCACTAAATATGTCTAATATATACTTTGTATACCTCTAACATAATTATAATATTTACTGATATAACTACGATATATGTGTATATATTTTTTATATAATTGTATGATATACAGTTGATTTACTACCGATGAAGCAATGTATCCACTAATTTTTTTAGATGAAAATAATGGTGCGAACATGGAAAATGAAATCTAAAATTATTGCAAAAAAGGTTGATATGGACCAAATATCCAAAAAGACAGCCTAAACCAACACTAAAGGTATTGTATTTACAAAAACAGAATGCAGCTAAAATATCGCCTCATAGGATACAATAATCACTAAGAAAGAGGGCTAATCATTGATCAACTTAGATTTGACTTGGAGATATCTAAAAAATGAAAACTTATACTTATATTCCTGATTTATTACTAATATAGCTTGGATATATGTCTGATCATGACATACTTTGGATATACCACTAATATATTATTGATTTACCACAAATATGATATCTACTGATAAAAAATAAATTGGTTGCAGAGATTAAAACTTGAAAATCATTTCTCTTGAATGATACGAAACATAGGTTTCTCATAGAAAAACAAAACTCACGACTCCAAAAGTAATTAATAGTCGTTTATGATGTTTATATGAATCTAAAAGCACGAAGTAAACAAAAAAAAAAAAGAATTAATAGACTATACATCATGCAACAGAAATGCTATAAATTTACATTCGCGTTTGAAATTAAAAGACATAAAAGCAACATAAATGTCGGAAACAATTATATGTTCAGTAGCTATGACTGAAAAGCTTTCTTTGACTTGTATTTAAAACAAATAAAAGCTTCAAGCTCTGGGCTAATCAGACACTATTCTCTGCTTAAGCACATCCATTGTCGATGCCGAACGAGTATCAAAAGGGTCCA